TTCTACCCGACGCCAGCCTTCCAACGGTGCCTCAGGCGTCTTCCTGGCGCCAATATTGGTAGAGCTACAGCCTGTTATGAAAGTGGGATTCACCCTGGCAGAGTGCTAACTTTGACACCAGATTCCCTAGGCATCCTTTGGGCATAGAATCTCATACTCAGCGGCCTCATTCTACTCGACGCCAGCTTTCCAACGGTACCTCCAACGTCCCCCCAGCGCGAATATTGGTAGTGCTACTGCCTATTCTGGAAGTGGTCTTTACCTTGGTGGAGTTCTGGCATGGTGCTGGGGTAGTGCTAACTTTGTCACTAGATTCCTCGGGCGCCCTATGGACACAGCAGCTCACACTTGGCAGCCAGGTTCTACTCAACGCCAGCCTTCCAACGGTGCCCTAGACGTCCCCCCGGCGCCAATATTGGTAGAGCTACAGCCTGTTATGAAAGTAGTGTTTCCCCAGGAGGAGGGCTGACTTTAACACCAGATTCCTCAAGCGCTCTGTGGCTGCAGCAGCTGATACTCAGCGGCCTGATCCCACTTGCTGCCAGCTTTCTAACGCTGTCTCCGACATCCCCCCAACACCAATATTGGTAGACATACAGCCTGTTTTGACCATGGTCTTTACCTTGGTAGAAGTCTGGCAGGGTGCTGGTGCAGTGTGGACTTTGATGCCAGATCCCTCGGGTGCCCTATTGGCGCAGCAGCCCATACTCAGCTCCCTGGTTGTACTCGACGCTGGCTTTCCAATAGTGCATGGAATATCTATCTAGCGCCAATACCCGTGTTGTTATCATCTGAGATGTAGGGGGTATAGTGCACTAACTTGGGGGCTTGGAGCTTTTCTTTCTTTATTCTGTATTCTAGAACCAATATAAATACAAATAATCTTTATTTTGACACTTTTACAATATACATAATGTGTGACTTAGGTCACAAGGTCCAGTCCTAGCATTGCATCCTGAAAATTTAGTAGTGCTCGCTTGTATCCAGAGAAGACCTGCTGCATCTGGTTGCGTCTACAGAATTTAGAGAGTTCTTGGTTGCATCCCAACTTCTAGTGCCATGACCTGTTGCATCCTGAGTTGTAGTTTGTGTCTTGTGTGTCCTGTGTGTCAGAGGTACAGGACGCACTGGACGCAAAGTTTTATTTTTGCTTATATATATATAAGACCATGAGGTCAGATGGTAGACTAGGCAGGTACGCTGGTACATGTCCGAGGGATATCTGACGGTTCAGATATCCCAAAGAACAGAAGGAACTGATGAGATAGGTGTATCTAAGTAGTGGAAGTAATGTGAGTATGTCTGCTCTGACCTAAGGATAGGTTAGAAGGCCAGGTGAGTTTACCAAGTCTAGGAGAGTCATGTTACCTAGCCATGGAGATCAGTTTCGTGTCACTATGGACATACTTACCCTACCTTTGGGAAAGTATTACCCTACCTTCTGTCAGAAATGTTCTCGGAGAAATTATGGGAACTGTTAGAATTGTTTATTACGCAATGGCGATTGGCAGGCACTTGCTTGCATACTGATCGGAAAACTACAGGAGGAGCTAAACTGCTCTGAACAAGCTGTAACTTGGCAGAATTGTTCTTAACAGGTAACTGCAGCCCCAGGGTTCGCCCCGGGCGTCATGGGCTAAAACGGGTAGAGCTACCGTCTTACAAGTTAAATGGAGTCGATGAAGACATGTCCATAACACTGTATACATTGCTGCTGTCCAACCGACTGGAAGCTGTTCGCGGGATATATAAGGTAGCCAAGGTAAGAAGGTCAGGTACCTTCTCCAAAAGGAATGGAGTAAAACGGACCAAATCTGACGGAGTTAGCAAGAGCTATCCGGAAGGGTCCCCAGAGTAGTCCCAGGTAGTACCACAGACATCTGGGAAGGTTTTATGCCAATCAAGCCTACACGTACCCCTTCACTGTAGACACTTTGCAAGTTGTTTGAGGACTCTAATAGCATGATACTTATCATGGTGAGTAGTGTGTTGGGGGTCAGGGACTATGGGTAGCGCCCATGGGTCCCGCCGCCACCACAGCTATTTGTGGGAGTATTGTAGACCTTCTAAGTTCGCAAGTCAAAATAGATAGAACTTAACTGGAAGACAGCTGATGTCTACAAGTGCTTGCATAGGTCATAGCAGATGGGAAGAGAGTGATTTAGTTAGCTTTCCTAGGCGTCTCAACAGTTAGCCACTGGCGAGGCACTGATGCGCATAGGTTTTCACTCTGGCAAGTGTATTGGTTTAACACCTAGCAGGAACTGATGTACATATAGGAGATTTCTGGTAGAGTGAGCTGACACCTTAGGCCCTTTGGGGACATGGTAGTGGTACCGGCAACCCTCATAGAGAAGAGCATGCTCATGTTGCTTAGGGTACTCTGATAGGGGAGTTTTTGGTATAAGTCTGACTACTTAAAGATTATACGAGAACTCTCCTATCTCAACACAATCAACATCCTCTTGAGAGACTTTAATGGAGATAAGCCAAAGCTTAACGTTATTAAGTTCTACTGTTTACTTTTATTGTTTACTCTTTGCAAGAGGTATGTTCGAGAGATTCGAAGTTTGGTGCAGTCGCATCCTTAGGAACCATCTACCTGAGGCAGCCCCCATTACACCGAGGCTATGATATCAGAGGTACTAGCTGCCAGGCGGAACCCTTGGAGGGGGCCACAGCGCTGGCTTAAGAGGAGGAGGAGGACTCTAGGGCAATGAAAGATGGGGAGGGCCCAGGTAAATGCTGGATCTATCTAGAAACTCACCCTGTGTGAATTAGAAAGCAGTGAAGGAACAAGGATGTCTTGTGGCAAATATGTGTAAATTTGCATACCATACACCATCCACCTGCACTGGAGAGTCGATGTCTTCAACTAGGATGTCTAGTATATAGTTGAAAGGAGAACGATACTTTGCACTTGGTAGAGGTGAGGATAGGGGGATGGCTATAGGTGCCTGGCCTGTTTGGGTAGAGGGGGGGGTGGGCTGAGAGGGACAGTAGTAGGATGTGCAACCAATACTATGACCCTTAACGAGAGGTCATGGACAGAGGCTTCGAAAGCTAGAAGGGAGGAAGGGTCCTTAGGTCTAGTCATCAATAAGTACCTCAGGACTTCAAGTCTTTGGATTATACTGCTGGTTCCTGAAAGTACTATGCAGAGTAGGAGAACGAGGACAGTTGCTCCTGTAGACAGTTCCAGGAGCTCAGAGTCCGATTGCACAGGGATCAGTAGTGCCACCCATCCTACATGATGGAGGGTGCTGGCTAACTCATCTCTAACCAGTAAGAGGTGAGAGAAGTGAGAGGGAGTAGGTACTCTTGACTTGTAGGGTGTGGTATGGTAGGAGGCCTGGGAGCCAGACCTGGATGGCCCTAAAGCAGTATCCTCTATCTTGGAGGGGGCTGTACAGAGTAGTAAGAGGATTGTGAACTTAGAGACTGAAGTCTAAGCCAGAGGAAGAAATAGGTATAGGAGGTTGGTCACCACATTAAACCTTAGAGCTTTACCTGACTGAAAGTGGTAATATTTTTAAGCAAGAGGAAAGGAGAGGGTGCAGAGCATGTTTTGAAACCTAGGAATTTTTTTTGTTTGACTCATTGATTATTTGTTTAGGGTATAAAAAACATATGGAGTACTAGCTATGATGACAAAAAACCGATATCCCTCCACTCACCACAGGAAAAAGCCAACCCC